TATCCTAATCTATAATTTCAGTCCTATAACTTGCCCTCAACTTATATGTGAGGTCAACATATTCACCAATATATACAGATGTCCCTTGACACTTTGCTCCCCACCCCCACTTCAAAATGTGACAATTATAAATCTATGCACTTGTATGGCAAGTCTGTATGGGCTTAAATCCAACTACTACCTAAACGGATCCTTTGAATTAGTTGCTAAACAGTAAATGAGTATGTAGGTAAATACCACTGCATCAAGTGGGTCTACTCTAATTAATGTATCAAATTTTTTAGGTTTTAGAGACATTTATATTTGGTAAAATCAAATCACACTTTTAAATACTGCCACCTTCAATGTTTACACTAAGGAATCCCTTAGTATGTTCACCACGTTTCAGGGCTTATTACTATATCTCCAGCAGATGCAGACACACACCACACGTATAGCCTCTTTTATTATTATTGAAGAATGAAGAGAAATGTAATGGAATTCCGCAGTGATACTAAATCAGTTAATTACCAACTGCACTTTACTCTCTGGTGGTACATTAATCAGCTGATGCATTTCTCTTCCAGTAAAAGACGATCGCTCTTGAAATTTCCGGCTCAGGAAAGCAGATAAGTGAATACTAACATGACAAGCAAAGAAGAGCTAAAGGTGCTGTGAGATGTCCCAAAGGGTGGTGTGGAGAACTAGGTCAGCCAAACTTCAATGTCAAAATAGAACACAAAGCAAGTAACGCAATACACGTTCCTCCCCAACCCACTTCAAGTTGTGAAAGCAGAATGTGTGCAGTGTCATAGCAGACAGAAACCCATTTCCATAGTGCCTTTTGTCAGGTCTTGGAAAATGTATTGTTTGGATGATAATGTCCAGAATTCATCAGGCAGCTAGCCAATGCTAGTGGAGAATCCTAGGAATTGTAGTACAACCCTCATACCTAAGGGCTGGTACCTGTGATTTCACCTCCCCCACCCCATATCAAACAAGACATGTCCTCTATAGGAATTTTCCAGGTCCTCCAGGACATTCATGGCATGCTTCCATCGGAAGTTAGCACAGAGATGTGCAGAAAGACCTAGCAAATCCCTAGATATTATATCTCTTTAGGATTTTTCTCCAATGAGACTCTATGTAACTTCCAACACAAACATTGATTTCAATAGAGTTTTCAGTCATCCACAGCTTCCTGTTTCCACAGTAAGTTCAAGATCATCTCCTGCACAGAACATTCCCAAGTTCTGTCTCCAGCGTTGTGGTGATGCCACCTCATCTCCTCTGGCCAACCCAAGTTAGATACTGAGTGCCCAAAGCTTTAAAAAAATCACAAAGGTACTTATAAGAAGCAAGATCTGAAACCAATTTACATGTAGTCCTCCTGCATGTGTATAGTCTAATGCTGATTTCAGCCCCATTTGCTATTATTCTAATCATGCTATAAATAAATAAATATGGACTAAGGACTGGTTAATTATGGATGACGAACTCTGGACTGTGATTTTTATGACGAGAAGCATGGTATTATTATTGGTGGCCCAATAATTTGTATTGTTTATGTGTTGTTGTTTTAAATTGTACATTGTTTTTAATTGTTGTAAACCGCAATGAGTCGCCGATTTAGGCTGAGATATTAGCGGTATACAAGTGTATTAAATAAAATAAAATAAATAGGGCCTTCTACTTTGACCTTGAATTTAGCCCTAAATAAAATCACCACATTTTACCAATGACATCATTTCTGGGTTTTTTTTTATTACCTGAAAATGTATTTTTTAGTTTCCAGGCAAGTTCTGTGGTCTTGATCTAGACATAATTGGTTGTGATTTAACCACGCTGTTCTATGCATTCTAACTATTAAGTTCAAATGGAGTTGCTCCCAGGTACCTGAACATAGCTGGAAATGGCTGAAGCCATAGGAAGAAAGAAATGATGACTACTTGAAGTCCCTTCACTTTCTGTGAATTCTACAGAGCAATGCTATGCATATTTACTCAGAAGAAAGCCACAAAGCATTTAATGTGTATTTACATCTGGGAAATGTATTTAGAATTGCAACCTTAGCCACAGATAACTCTGGCTGGATTGTGGCCAGTGCATTTCTTGTACTGTTGAGCAATTGTCCTGAGCAGAACAAAATGTTCATTAAGCCTGTTAGACCCCCGGGATGAAATGGGAGGAAGACAGGCTCATTCTCCCTGGCAATCTGAGAAGAAATGGTTCCTCTCCCCAGAGGCTGAGGAGAGAGTGCCTGGCAAAGCCAAGATGGCTACTCCTCCTAATGGACTTCTGGTTAACAACATCAAGGGGGAGGGAGAACTCAGTTTGAGCACTCAGGCATTGCTGCAAGGAGGGCCATGGTGGCCTTGCCAGGGCCTCCACCACTTACTGCCACCAGACCTCTATCCATATGTCTCTGAAATGGTGCCCAGGAAGCAAAACTCTGCCAAAGCTGGAAGTTAGGCCCCCACACTTCTGAACTGTGTTGCAGCAGCGCCCATGTGCTGTCACTCCACATCTATTACCAACCAACCAACCAACCAAACACTGCTTATATAGCAGAGTAATATATTACAGTAGCTCCAGTCCAAGTCATTTGGCTAGTTAAGTTGGAACAGTGATAGAGACCCCCTTCTAGGTCAATGCAGCCCAGCCAAGTTATTTGGCACATAAACAGAAGACATCACAAGGACCTCCCAGCACTGATTCCAGTAAACAACATACATAGCTAAAAGATTCTTGCCCTTTCGTGACACCACAAATCTGTTGCCTGAGAAAACTGTTTGCCTACTAGATCAAAACAGCTTGCTGGTGGTGGTTTTTACAGCCTCAATTCCCTCTCCTAGCAATTTCTCGGCTTTCACAATTTCCTTCACCGCTGATTTCTACACCTGCCATTGTCTCAAAGCTATTATCGCTCTGCGTATGACTTCCCTCTCCTTAGACCTCCGCTAGCAGAACTAGCTTAAAGCTACTCAAACTGCTCCCAGTCCACTAATGTGTCTTTTCACGGAGTTGCTCTCTCAAACAGTAATCCTCTGTGATTTTCTTCTCCTCACACCTAATCTCCAAATAGCTTTTCCCCTTCTATGCTACAATCCTGAAGCCATTTTATTCAGAGCAATCCCCCAGTCATTGACGGATTACATCAGGTTTAGTGGACTGAGAAAAAGATAACACTTTCTGCTTCAAACCAGCTGTCATTTACTTCCTTTCCACATAATCCCAGTTGTTCCATGAAAGACTGAGAAGAGCCTTATACTATTTCAAAACATTATTCCATGCAGCTCAGTACTGGGCTCTCCAAATGGTAACAACTCTCCAGGATTTCTAACGTGACTCTTTCACACCACCTATTGCTTGATTCTCTCAAATGAATGATTATTTCGGAGATATTAATTCAGGATTTTCTGTGTACCCTTTATGACTTGTTATTGAGCTATAGGCAACCACTTTCCCATTCCTGTCTCAAATAGAGACAGTTAATTTTCTAGAAATTGTACTTAATTACCAAGGTCTTCACCTCCACATGCACAGTCCCCCCCCCCCCCAAATCAGATTTCACAAAACACCATCCCATTAAGCCACATCATGCATGGTGGTCCTACATGACTACCTGAAGCATATGGTCACACTGTGGAGCTAATCTAACACAGCTCCACAAATAGGAGTAAGGGAAGTGTGTTAAAAGTTTGTTGCACTTTGTAACTGAATGCTATAGGTTTTCAGATCTCCATGTGGCTGGCTACTCCTCTACTGTGGTAGCCTGTTTATAAATGTTATACGTGAACCCATCCAAATCTATATCTTCATTTACAAAAAGAGATCATTAAATATGTGAATAATCTTGCTTGCATAATCATACAGATAAAGTCTCCTTTGGGACCTTGCGTACTCTGCTACCTAAAGTTCCCGTTCAGACAAATAAGGCACAACAGTGAAACAACTAAGTAATTCATGTGATATTATTTGGGCTTTGCATTGCATTTGGTTACTGTCAGTAGATGAGCAAACAGGATCTTATTGAGAAAAACTTGGATGTGACCCTCAACCCAATTTTCTTCAAAGAGCTTTCCAGTTCCAGCATGCCTGACTTGCAAAAGAAAGCAGATGTTTTTTATCTATCTGTTTCCTAAAGCCTAGCAGCAGGAAGAGAGATTGCCTGGAGTCACTTCAGACACCGGGGCTCTTTCTGTCTGATGTAGCTGCAAGTTCCTTTTCCCAATACAAGCTGGCAACCAATGATATCATACTTTTTATAGTTCCCCCTCAAATCTGAAGAATGTTCCAAATGCAAATTTCTCTTTGTTTCAAGACTGCCATGAAGAAACAGTTGCCTCTGCTGACTTTGGTATGTATGTTCTTTAGTAACAATACAGATTTTTAAAAGATCACCAGGAACTACTTGGGGTGCATCTACACTGTAGAATTAATGCAGTTTGATGCCACTTTAAACTGCTATGGAATCATGGGTGTTGTAGTTACAATGGGTCTTTATCCTTCTCTCTCAAAGAGTGATGATATCTATCTCTCAAAACTGCAAATCCAGGATTCCATAGCATTGAGACATGGCAGGCATCACACTAGAGAATGAATCCACTTTAAATCTGGTTTTTGCCTCCTCCTGAATTCTAGGGTTTGTAGTTTAGTGAGGTTGTTAAAGGCTCCTCTGTAAACTACACACCACAGAATTCTGCAGGAGGTAGCAACCGGATTTAAGGTGGATTCATTGTCTAGTGTGATGAGGTAAAGTGGTGTTGAACTACATTAATTCTACAGTGTAGATGCATCTTTGATCATTTCCCCCAACCATTGTTTTTGTGTCTAGCCCACCTAACAACTTTTACAGGTAAAATATCATCAGTATTGAAATTAAAAAAAATCTTTTTGGAGATTATTTAAGGGGACAAAGCCCTTTCCTGCTCATCCCCCTGCTACCACCCCTCATCCCCCACAAACCATCCCTCTCCCAAATCGGGATAGATTTTCCCCATTCACTTGCCTTCCCTCACCCAATGAAGTAGGAAATGATGAGCAACTGGACAGCTCGGTTGATCACGCCAATGGTCCAACTCTTCACCACTACAGATTTAGTGGTTTCATAGGTGAAGAAGTCTGCCACACAAGACATGCCGGAGGAAAACATGAGCAATGAGGATCAAATCCAGGACAATCTTTAAGCCAGATGAGAATGTCAAAGAATTATGATATTTCTAGGACACAAAGGTATAAGTTCCACTGAAAGGGATGGCTTTTGAAGACATCAAGTTGACTCTCTCCTGGCTCTTCTCTGCTACAGTTCTGGCCAGGCATGAACTGCAGGGACCCCTTTAATAAGATCTCTCCCCTACCCCCACTCAACACTGCGGTGGTGCTGCCGGAGAAAGGTGGGGCTTTCTAGCTCATCAATTACAAATTGGATTATAGTGAGTACGTAAATGGAAGCAATCTTAGTGTTAAATAATGAATCTGCAATTGCTGCATTTTCTCTGAGTGGTGTTCCGGTCCTACAGATGTTGCTTCTGTGCTGTTAGGCCTTTGCAACCTCAGAATGGGGGTCGGGATCAGAAAGGAAAGAAAAAGCTTGAAGATTTTTTCTTCTTCATTACTTCAAATCAAGAATGGTATGAACAATAGCAAAAGTAAGCTGACAGGTATCATTTTGTAGTTGGGTTTGTATACTAGGACAAGTAGGAAATTGGGTTGTTGTAGGTTTTTTTCAGGCTATATGGCCATGTTCTAGAGGCATTTTCTCCTGATGTTTTGCCTGCATCTATGGCAGGCATCCTCAGAGGTAGGGAGGTCTATTGGAACTAGGAAAGTGGGTTTATATATCTGTGGAATGACCAAGTAGGAAATTGTTGGCATTCTGGTTTATAGGGAACAAGCTGTTAGAACTCAATCACATCCTGTAAAAGTTTATAGTCCTCAGCAAGGAAATATACAGGCAAATTAGTTAGTTGGTGTTATTGAACACAACTATCTCCACCCCTAATAAAAAGGGAGTCATAGTTCCCCAAGTACGGAGGGTCAAATGAACTACAGTGGCCCCATCCCTCCAGCCTCCATTCAGCCTCCCCCCACCCTCCCAGGACCAGCAGCACTCCTGACTCCACAGCCCGCAACTCCCCTTACACGCAAACATCCTGGCTCAGGTGTTCAGCCTGAGCTGGTCGCCATCAGTGAACCTCCAGAGCTCGCTGGAGATTGCCTCATGGCCCCACTCTCTCCCAACTAAGTTGCCACCCAGACTGATACAATACATCCCATACCCCCATCTCCAGACTCTCCATGATACATAATATCTTTCTATATTTCTTTCTTTTTTCTTTATGTGAAAGTGTGCAAGAGCGCAGAAGAATGAATTAAAATAAATAAAGCAAATAATCTTTCATGTCCTACATGCAGCCATGGTGAGGCCCCTCTCCCTTCACTCCTCTTTCCACCTAGAAACCTATACCAAAACACTACATGGACTCTTTTATTTCTTTATATTATTATTATTTGAAACACAACAAGATGAGTTCACAGCAAACAAGATCACTCTGCTGGTTGTTGTATTGGATCACGCGTCGTACACCTCCCAAGTGTCTAGAACTGTATGATGTATCGGCAAATAATGCGTGCAGATCCTAGTAAGGTGGCCTTTTGGAGCTGACAGATGGTAATTTTGTTATTATTGTTGCTGTTGTTATACTACTACTACTACTACTACTACTACTACTACTATTTTGCTTCATTAAACTATATGAAATAGAAAACAAAGCTAATATGAACCTGTGAAATCTAATAACCTCTTGAGCAATCTCAGCCACTCCAGATACCCTTTCCACATGATGTGTGGGAACCTGGGACAAGACATAATCTGTTGGACAAAGACACTTCCTGCCTGCTAGTGGGAGGCCTTCTGCCTGCAACCTGGAACTTCTTTGGGGATCTTGGCTATCCTCTGGACAAAGATTTGGGAAGAAACTTCGATCGCGCTCCCATCACCAATAGACTTGTCTGGGACCTTCTCTTTATCTTCCCAGCATGAGAAGATGTCTGAGGATCCAGCGCTCATTGTATCCACAGTCAAGACCCAGTATCTGCATAATCCTATCATTCATAATTTCAGACTCTTGTTGTCTTCAGCCTTCCATTGCTACACACCCAGGATGGACAAAACCTCCTGGAGACCTCTTCATCCCAGAGACCACCTCCTTTGGCTCATTGGAAACCCTGGGGCTTTCCTGCCTGGCTGGGTGGGGAGTTCCAGCTGCATCATCAGCTCCACAATCAATGGGAAAGTGAGCCATCAAAGCCCGCCTCCTGACTAATCAGAGGCCTGGAAAATGCCAGCTGGCTTTTCCACCATAGACCACTCCAGCTGAGAGGGAGTTTCAAAGAGGTAGCAATGTTAATGTCAAAGTGCTGGTTTTAACCTTTAAAGCCCTAAATGGTTCTGGCCCAGTTTAACTGTCTGAAAGTATATACAGTTAAGAACCATCATGAAGTCTAAGATCATCTGGAGAGGCCCTGCTCTCAATCCCACCACCACCGCAAACGTGATTGATGGGGACGAGGGACAGGGCCTTCTCAGCAGTGGGCCCCCATATGTGGAATTCTCTCTTCAGGGATATCTGATTGGCCACCTCCCTCCTGTCTTTCAGAAGGAAACTCAAGACTTGGCTATAGGACCAAGCATTCAACAATTGATTAGCAGCAATCGAGAAGAAAATTTAAGCAACTGGTGACAATGAATTGACCCGGACCCGACTTTGGATTTTAACTGGTGTGTTTAATTAATTGCTTTTTAATTAACTGTTTTAATTAACTGTTTTAATGTTTTAATTGTATTTGTTGTATGTTTATGTGAAAGAACAGATCGTGCTTGCTGTGTGGCTGTCCTGAGTCCCCTCTTGGGGGTGAGAAGAATGGGTTATAAATGCAGGAAATAAATAAAATAAATAATAAATTAATGCATGGAATTCTTTATGTACAAAAAAGCCTGCCTTTTCCATATTCAGTATGCCAATAAATATTGAGCCCCAGTTGCTCTGTAAATGTCCCTTCTGTAGATTGAATAAAAACTTCTGTTGTTTGTCTTCACGCTGGTGAGATCCTGATTTCACGTCTCGGAACATTCAAGGTTAACAGAACTCACCAGGCTTTCCCTCGGTATTCGCGGGTATGCAAAACTTCAAATTTTCAGCCTCACTGGTAGGGAAAGTCCTTCCCCAATTGCCCTTTGTGTCTGCCTGCATTTATATTCTCTCCTCCTATTTCTATGTAGTGTTAGACTAATCCTTCTCAGGGACACACTCCTTCAAGGTTCCTGGCCTCATGGTCAGCCTCTGAGTCTTCCTTGTTCTTTCCACTTGAGCATGGAGAGAAACAAGCTGTCCTCAAGAGATAGACAGTTAGATAGTTAGGCACTAACTTTTCTATATAGAAATTTAATTATTTCAATAAAGTATTTTGTAACTTTTAAAGCTTGACTCTGCTGTTTTGATTGCTGAAACTAATTTGCTATCCTGCAAGCTCAGTTCTTGCTGTATGGGTGAAACTGCTATTTTGTTCCTACTTTTTCCTTTTTTAAATTACTTAACACAAGCCAGTTGAGCCAGCTCCTGCTTTCTAGGCAACTCCTGGTTGAAAGAGGAACCATTAAATAAACCACAGCACTTGTGATGCCCAAGGACAGCAGTCAGTGCTCTGAAGTGTTTTTGTCTCAGCAAGTCAAAGAACAAATCTGGGAGTAGATTTAAAGTTGCTTGTGAGGGAGTAGTTTTAAAGTTGGTTGTTTGTTTAGCTATCAAGACAAAGAAAGAAACCTTAAATCAGAAGGCATGGTTTATTTACCTGCATCCCTTGCTACATCGTTAATCAGAAAATGAAAATCAGCAGACTGCCTCATCAATGTTAAGTTAGAATTATTGTAGGAGCCCGGCTTAGTGAAATACTTGGATGCAAGCACCTCTAGGGATCTAATTCATGTTCTCCCATGAAAGCCTATCCAATCCTCAAAATATATTATGGGTATCTTTCCCAAAAACAACAACGTGCTAGAGGGTACAACACCTATCACTTGCTGGGCTTTTATTAGAGCAAGTTTTAAAATAGTGCCATTTAGTGTGGTGCCAGGACTGGTCAATGAGTTATTAGCTGCCAGTCCATGGAGTGTTTACAGAAAACAATCAGTTATAGCCAGTGACCACAAATATATACTTGTCCCTGATACACAGAAAAAAATTAAAATGTTGGTTCCCTTTATCAGATGGCTTAGGGAGTATTTAAAGACTTCATCCCACTGAACAGGTCAAGTGTTTGGGGGAGTAGGCTTACCATTCAGTTTAGGCATACTCTGTTTTGAAATTGAAGGTATGGTTTTCCTATCTTCATCACACACTTTTCAATTTATCTGTTTTACTCAGGAATCCTCCATTGATTTGCCATCACACAGTTGAGATTTGTCCCCATCCACTGTCCCTCCCCAGTTTGCTTTATGGAAAAAAAACTGAAGAAAATTGCTGACAGTAAAAGATAGCTGCTATTATGGAAAGTTATGGTGTTCTGGACTTCACCTCCCATAATTCCACAATTCCAATTTCAAAACACCTGGATGGTCCAAATTTGCCCATGCCTGATATAGATGCATTCTCTGTCACATCTATATAAATAAAAATGTTTGTGGGATTAACATAACTCAAAAACCACTGGACAATTTGTCGCCAAATTTGGCCACAAGACACCAACTAACCCAAGGACTGACTATCACTCAAAAAAATTAATTTTGTCATTTGGGAGTTGTAGTTGCTGGGATTTATAGTTCACCTACAATCAAAGAGCATTCTGAACTCCACCAATGATGGAATTGAACCAATCTTGGCGCACAGAGATTCAATGACAAACAGAGCATACTGGAAAGGTTTGGTGAGTACTGACCTTGAGTTTGGGAGCTGTAGTTCACCTACATCCAGAGAGCACCATGGACTCAAACAATGATGGATCTGGACCAAACTTGACACGAATACTCAATATGCCCAAATATGAACACAGATGGAGTTTGGGGGAAATAGATCTTGACATTTAGGAGTTGTAGTTACTGGAATTTATAGTTCACCTACAATCAAAGAATATTCTGAACCCCACCAATGACACAATTGGGGCAAACTTCCCACACAGACCCCCCATGAGCAACATAATATACTTAAAGCCATCCAGTCCAACTCCCTTCACCGGGGCAAGGAAACTTAATCAAAGCCCTCCTGACAAAGAGCCATCCAGCCATAGATATAGATAGA